ATTCTAATTCATTAAAATAAACACCAGATCTTCTTCTGTATCTTCTATTATTGCAAGTTTTTATAATACAACTACTGTACAAGGCAATATTAGCAGTTTAATCTCCAAGTTGTTTCACGGTTGGTTTTTTTTTTTAAGTTAACACATCTCATGAGGACACAACAGAGATTTCAGATTTATTAATGCAACACTAATAGTCTTTGCAATGCTTTTAAGCAGAAAACAATTTTATTTTTTAGAAAAAGTGAATATTGATTATATCTCTGGAGTGACTCCATGTGGGAATAAAAGCACAACAAAATGCAGATCAAAGTATACATCCTGAATTCCTAATGCACTGAGAGGTGGTTGTGCAACTAATGCATGTGTAAGTCAAGACAGGTCAGGTGATTTTACATCCTAGGTGAAATCTCAGCCCTTCTGGCTAGAATAAAACATGACATTTTATATTGCCTCAAGAAAATGGGACGTGTGTCAATACAAATAAAGTGTACTGTTAGCACAAGCTTTAAATGATTAGAATTTTGTCCTATAACCTGGAGGAACCATGGGAAATACAGGCTGATTTTTATGATGAAAACGTCATCTGAAAATAATGTTATTTAAATTTGCAGTATTGTTCAGTGTAAGCAGAATCAAATGATTTTGAAAGGGTTATAAAAGCAGTGTTCTACTTTCCGTTAGAAAAGGGGTTGGGGAAAATATGTGGTTATGATGGCAAGACAGTGCATTACATAAAAAGAACTATTTTTCGGTCAACTCATCATGAAGCAGGAGACAATGCCACAAAATTCACCCCGATTTGGAAAAACACAGCTATCCTGAGACAGCACAGAACCGAATAAACGACAAAGTCTGCTTTAGAGGTACTGAGGGATAGTCGTACACTAAGTGTTACTACTCCCTCGCGGGCTCAGCAAAGCCCAGCAGAGGCAGTAAGGGAGAAGCAGTGCTGCCGAGCAGTTAGAGAACTTCAAAGGGGAGGTGATGGGGAAGAGAAATTATGCATTTGGGCTTCTGCATTTTTCCCTTTAACAAGATAATGTCAGTAATTTTATTAAATAAATGCTGACTCAAATCAATGGTGTTGCAGTTTTAGGATACCAGTTGTTCGTACCTGTGGGCATCTTAGGACAGATAGTGAAGTTTTGCTCTAGCTTATGCTCCCGATAAAAGGGAATTAAATGCAAAGTACAGTGGGAATACATCTGCATGCGGCAGGGTAAGAGATCCTCTACACAAACATGGGGAGCACCATGAATGAGGGAGCTGGCAGCTACCCTTGAGTACCAGGTGACCAATATGCAGTTTGAAGCAAGAGGAGCCCACCTTTCCTTTGCAGGACGTCGGCGAGGGTGTAGGCATTTGGAACGAGGCACTGGAGGTGAACATGCAAAAACAAGTGGCATGCTGTGAATACCTGAACTGTTATGCTTCCAGCTGATGCAGAGCCACTCTCCCAACCATCAGTAGTTCCTCTTTGAAGGCACACTTGAACCTGACTGCCCTGTATACCGTTATTTCATATTTCTCGTCTCCATTGGAATCGCATTTATCTTCCAGGCATCGCTCTTCTTCCTTCTACAACTTCTGGTTTTCAGTGCTGTCCCCCAATCTGGGTACTCCTGAGTGCCTCTCAAATCCCTGCAACTACAGTATCAACACTGACGTGATGATTCACGTTCTGTCTCACTTCTCCTCCTCCAGTCTGCTTCATCAGGCTGGCTAATTACAGAAGTCGAGCCTTTTGACTTCTGAACTCTAGACTGCATGCAATTATTCAAGCATTTCTTAGAAGTGTGTGGAAAATAAGCTTTTTTTTAAATTAAAGCTGAGATTTCAACATAATGAAAGAAGTTGAGAAGCTGTTTTCAGAAAAACTTTCTACAAGATAGTATTTATCTCCACTCACAGCCACCACACATCTCTGTTCCCACTACTTTCTCCCTCCTCTTTTCCATTCCCTAGGAACCTGACATGGGGTGTTTGTGGAAACGTATGTAAAGAAATTGTAAAGTTCTGTAAAAATGGCCATGAAATGTCACTGGACAAGGAAGAATGGGCAATGAGATGCTGTAATGAGACATCATGAAAACTTCAAGTTCTGTTTTTATTTAAAAAGGAAATTAAATTCAAATCTCCTCTGAGGCTCTCATGCTACTCAAATTGGGCTTGAGTGCAATTAGTGTTTCAGTTACTATCTGAAAGTGCCATTCCACAAGACAGGGTGAGCCAGCCCGTTCGGCCCCTACCCTCTCCCTGGCCATGTGCTCCCACTGCTTACCTCCTGGCTGGCGCTAGTCCTCGACAGTTTTCCCACTGTTCCAGCTCCCTGAACAGAACGACCACCACCAGCACCCCAAGGGGGGGAGGGGGCGGGGAAGAAAAGAAAAAAGATTTACAACTCAGATGAGCATCAGTCTCAGCAAAGGGGGTGGGACTGGGACAGTGTAGACAGATGGGGGAGGTAAGACAACACGATGAGCCACATCAGAGCTGAACAGCTGAGACCACCCAGAACGATGTAGTTTGCTCTGTTGGATTTTTTGGCCAGATCAGCTCGATGCTCCGATTTGTTGTGTTGCAGAAACAAATGGCTGGGAACAGCAGATTCAAGAGTCTAGAACCACAAATAAACACAGAGGCTGAAAAAGATAAGCCCCGAAATACGACCTTTTCCCAATCTCAAGGCAAGAATCACCTCTCGCCTCACTCCTTGTCCCAGGTGCTAACACATTACTTTTTTTTCCTCCTATCACCACTACTCCTGTAAGCATCAAAGCTATGGCTCCATACTCACGAACAACTTGCAACAGGAAAGCCAAAGATTTGCAAATTTGTTTGACTTAAATTCTGTCCATTTCAATAGCACCTATTAAATTTCCACAGCAACTGGGCTAAGAGAAGCGTGAGATCTCTATTGGTTTCCTCTGCACAGATTTTATGAAAAAAGTTTCTGCAGCATGAACACGTAGTATGTATTCAGTGCACAGTACTGAATTTGATTACGCTGTGTCAGATGCACATTTATGAATAATGCAAGGATTAAAAAAATCAGCTAAAAAGCAAGGTGTAGGATATTCTTGCAATGTTGGGGATCTCACTAAAATGATCTCCAGTTCAGTCATTTACTTTCTAGCTTAAAAAGAGGTTGTTTTAACCAGAGGGATGAAATAACAGCCAGAATAGTTAGGATACTCCACCAGGAGAGGAAAACTGGGGGCATCCACCAAGGATGGATCACACTGGGACATCTGGAGACATGCCATGAGTACAAGGACCTGTTCAAGCAGTCCCCACTCCTTTGCCCACACCACTCACTAAACAATCCTAGGTTGACAGGGCTCCTGTACATACGTAGGAGCAAAAGGTCAGGTGCTTGCGGTAAGGTTTTTGTCAAAAACAGGGGTATCCACAGACAACCAGGTCCACGTGCTTGTTGCCTATATGCCAGCTGCTGTTAATTAGGTACATGAGCCCTTTTGCGAGCCTGGGCAGAGAACCCAAGCAGCATCAAATGCTTTCTGTGCTAAGTGCAATTGAAGTAGCAGTGAAAAAAACAGTTCCTTCCCCAGGCGGCTCACAGTTTAATGAAAAAATACAAGCAAGTGGGAAGAAAGGAAAAGATGAGAAAGCCAGGATAACAGCTAGTTACACAAACATCTGGATTTCGGACTTTTAAAGCAAACAAAAATCAGCTGTTCTATCCCAGTTTTATCTACCTGGTTTTTAACCTGACAGGTCTCCAAACAAATAGGTGAAGGGGGGGACTATCCCCCTTGGTAGATGTTTCCAGTGGGCTACCTCAGGAATCTGTCCAGGTCTCAGTGCTTTTTGGATACTGTTTCTTTCAATACACTGTTGGTAAAATTTGAAACAAACAGTCATCCAGTTGTAATAACTTAGAAGTTGATTACTTGGCTAGGGGAACTCGCCCACATGCCTAACCACACTGTTAGGAACAAAGACCGCTGTTTCTCTGCTCTGGCTCCACGTTTTTCCCCAGTGTCACTCCTCTGCTGAATGCTACGCGCTGCTTTGCACGCATGACCAACGGAGCAGAGAGTCCCATGCAAAAGAAGAACATCAGGCAGAAGCAGAATGACAGTGTTCTTCCTGTGGACAGCATTAGCGAGACCATTACTGAAACGCTGCATCCATTTCCACTGTCATGCTTCAAAAAGGATGTTTACCACAAAATTTTATACAAACTCAGAAACTTAACACTGTAGCGGTAACAGCTGTAGAGATAATCTCAGTCCGTAAGAGAAAATTAAGGGCTGACTTGACTCAAAACTACACCAACTACATTCACAAGACAGAGACAGCTGATAGCAGAGAGGTCCTCAACCTACAAAATGAACATAGAATCATAGAATCATTGAGGTTGGAAAAGACCTCTAAGATCATCGAGTCCAACCGTCGACCCAACACCACCAGGCCCACTAAACCATGTCCCTAAGTGCATGTTAAGACATCACTGGCTGGGATCTGAGGTTAGACCACTTCAACTGATGAACTTTTGGAACAATTTACTTATCGACGTAGCGGCTTCTCCATCACTGAACTCTTTACATGAAGATGAATCTTCTTCCCAAAGCCAAGCTACAGCCCAAACAGATATTATAAAGCAGAATTTACCGTCATGGAAGTGATCACGCTAGATAACCCTTTTCAGTCTTAATACCTATGAATTACTGTTATTTCCCTTATAAACAAACAATATTCTTCTGTGCATCATCAGATCCATCATGAAACTTGGATCCCAAGGCAACGTGCAGATGTAGCAAAGCAGCAAGAATGCAAATGTGTAATACAATAACATAGACCACCAAACTTCTACAGCAGGAGAAATGCACAAGTAACAACAACAAAAAAAAAACCAAAAACCCCAGAAGTTTCATTTTCATCTCTGCAAACTGTAAGTTATAAAAACACAGCCATCCCACCTCTCTACCTGTATACAAGCTGAGAGGAAGAGAAGAGAGAAGGAAAGAGATACAGCCACAGACACACACATTTTATTTAGAAAGTCCTATTTCATTGTAGATCAACACTTTTCCTTAACCTGGCACTAGGACTTTATGACTGAGTAGGTACGGCACTGCAATTCTAGGACAGACTGCTGATGTATCATTTCTCTAGCATAAAGCTCTCGTTGCTTAGTAAAATTTTACCTGCAACTCCACTTCCTTTTATTTGGGTAGAGGGAGAAAGCTGAAATAATAGGCACAGATACAAGTACCTTTATGGTGAAGAGACTTCCGACAGCTGAGGCACTCTGGTCTAGGAGACTCTTCTTCCACTGCAGTTAGCTCACATCAACTGTAGAAACAGCATGACCCGACAGAAAAGATACGCTGCTTTGGGGTTTTTTTTTCCCTCCTCTCAGGGAGGAGGTATAATATAAAAACCACAAACACTTGTTTCTAAGTGTTTCGTGTATTTAACTGACTCAGTTGAGTAACTTAAATATCTACGGCATTTTATTTATCATACATTACTGTGTTTTTAAACTCATTCTACATTTAAGCTATTATTCTATGGAGATCTGAGTTTTCGCGATAGGACTGAAAAAGCCAGCACATAAAAGAGCTTCCTCCAAGCTACTGACAGAATAATTTGCATTTTCCTGTCCAACAATTTGAAACTACTTTCTTATAAAAATACTTACTTTTTAAAAGCTTTGCTCATTTCAATCTTAAATGATTCCTGAGAAAACGGGCACTTGTTTTTTCCTGAGACTGCCCTAAAATATTTGGCCAAAAATAGCATAAGCATTATTAATGCAAACAGCAAGCTTGTTGTTACAAAAGGTTTTATTATGTCCATCTGGGTAAAACCATCTTTTCTGTTCCTGGTGGCAGTCCATCACCACACATCTCCGACAGTCACACGGTAGTGCCAGCTGCGGCTAAGGGCTGCTCGCTTTCCAACTCTGACAGGGCGTCTGCTGGGCTTGACTGTCCCTGAGCCCCAGATTTCACAGCGTGCATTGCGTAGTTAATGCTTGTGCTTTCCATCCAGCTCCACGACCCCGAGAGGGGATTATACAACATCCCATTCACAGTCTTGACTGAAAAGCCATCTAGACAAGAAAGAAGGCATAAAGCAACTGATGTTCTTAAATATTGTAAGTCACTGCAACACCAAACCCTTTAGAACAGCGAGTCTGAAACACACTTCTTCCTCCGAGCTGGGGAGCAGTGCTTCACAAGCAGCCTTTGTCAGACACCACCACAAGCAGTGGCAACAGGCATCACTGGTGACAGTGGGTCCTGCTATTGCCAGTAGCAGCAACAGCTCCGTGCCAGGCCACGCACCGTTAGCACGCTATACGGTGAGCCACTGCAAAGTGGTATGCTAGAAACCCCAACTTCACAACACCACATTTGGGTGATTGGTGACATTTTCTGTAGGTGGAGACGTTCTTCAGATTGACGTCACACACTTCAAAATTAAAATCTAAGCATATCTTTGGAAGGATTCTGCAGATTCCCCTTAGGAATAGAAAATATAAGAAAGAGGCAAAAGAATGCCATCAAGGACTCAGCGCAAGTAAAGAGTGGTTTAGCACTCCCTGCTGAGCAGCTCCCTGTTCACTGCATGGCTCTGCCGTGTCCCAGCAGGGTACACGAGGGAAGGCAGGAAACAAACACCCTATCAAAACAAATCACTCCACTGCACTTGCTTCTCCTTTTGAAGGGAGAATGGAAAGAACCACCAGCACGTGAACCGGTATTAGTCATGTTCCTTACTGCATCACTGCAAAGTGCCAGGAGAAGACCTTGCCAAGAGAATAGCTCAACTCATACTTCAGCTTCTTTACAGAGAACTAAAGCAAAGCGAAATATTTGGTGAGAGGGTTTTAAAACATCTGCAGGGAAGGAGGGCAATAGGCAGAACTCTTCCCAGCTCAGCGCTTCGTCTATTTTAAAAGCAATCAAACCGGGGCAATTTAATTATTTCTTCAGATCAGTATCATACTGACTAATGAATCTGTGGTAGGTTTCATCTTCACATTTTTGAAGAAATATTTTAGTAACATAACATGAATAAAGAACATGGAGCAGCAACCAAAAATAACAACGCCTTTTCCCAAGGGGAAGATGACAAAGATGACAGCAGTGCAGCTCTGGAGTGCCAATACAGTTATTTTCTCAAACCTGACCTAGAAGATATCGACCACTTCAGAGCATACATTCTGCCACCGGAAAACCCTGGCATCTTCGCTTAGGCTATCAAACAGTGGGGCACCTGTAATGGTGATTTTGTTCGAGTAATGTCTGCATTCTTAGGACTCCACTTAGTTTATTTACTTTATGCAAAATCCAGTAAGCAGTAGTGTCTTTAAAGCAGAAACGACACTCATAATATATGACTGGTAACTCACACGGGAAAGGCTGTGTATTGCTGTTAGCACTCACCCCACCTATCTCATCCCCTTGCCATTGCTACAGGGAGCATTTGAATATCTCTCTGCATCCCCATCATCTGGCCTGGAACTTACTTATTTCCAGGAGGCGCTCCAGCTCTTCGGGGGGAACAAACTTCTCCCACTCGTGTGTTCCTTCCGGTACAATGCCTATTATTTTTTCTGCAACCACAATTCCCAGGACATAGGACAACTGTGTTTTATTGATTGTAGTAATGAATAAAGAACCTTCAGGCTTAATTAAAGATTAAAATGCTCAATTAGAAGAATATTTAATTTTTTTAAAAAAATTGTAAATTCAATCACATTAAAACACATAATTTGTCTATCTACAAGTCTACATGCTCATCATAATCAAAACCGTCAACATAATCAAAGTCTTGGATGGTCTGATAACCATTTCCTTGCCCAAAAAACATCTAACAAAGTCACTTATAACGTAACATTGCCCAGGAAATGGATAAATAAAAGGTATTAGGGTATATACAATACCTATCGTAAAAAGAAACACTTTTTTTAATTAAAACCAAAGTAAAATGTGCAATACTGCCTAGTTTTTGAGACCGCTGAATGCCGTGCTTGTTTTAATGATTACAGGATCAAAAAACAAAGCCAGAAATGAATTCTAAGTACTTAAGAGAGTGTTTGGTCTCTTAAGTAAAGGATATTTTTAAAGGATATTATAAAGGATAATTTCTATGTCCCCAGCAGGCTGAAAATTAGTCAAGCATTCCATTCGAATAATCTATATTCCTTCTGATGACCAGGAAGATAAATCAAAAGATTAAATGAAAGCTGCTGCTGCTTTTGTACTGGGCCTACCATCCTTCTTTACAAATGAAATAACATCAAGAGGAATAAAACAACACCTGATTATCTCCAAGCATAACTATGACCCTTTAAAAGCAGTCCAGAAGCACATCTGATGCGATGCTAGAGCTGGAATAGAATCTTGTGAGTCAGAAACATCATTACAGTCGGTTTCAATGCAGTCTGAGCCACAGCCGTCCATCAACAGCAGCACTGCCACGTTTTCTCTCACCTAGGTGAAAATCGGATGCAACCAGATTTCTTAAGGTCTTGGTGCAAAGCAACACTGCAATGCTAGGTAATGCCATTAACGCTTTTCTAAGGCAGCGTCGGGGAAATAAATGTTCTCCAACTTTAGTTACTGAAGTTGGGAAGATGTACTTGCATCATGGAGGAGAATGGAAGCCACCTCTGGAGCATGGTTCAGACTTCAAGGTGGCAAAATGAATGCGGATTTTTTCGCATTCCTTCAAATGAAAGCCTTAATAATAAAAGAGAATAAATATTCCCAATAATGAAAGCAAAAACTCTCTTACCTTTAACACCTGAGAGCAACACTTGATAAACATTTCAAGGTCAGCCACATGCTCCACTACTTCAGAAGCTACAATTACGTCAAAGGTTTCCATACACTCTTCCACAATCTCCTCCAGTGAACTGGACTTGTACTGTATTCTCTTGGCCAGGACCGGATCAAATGACTTGTGTTGATCTGCTGTTCTAATGTTGTCCTCCAGAGGATCAATTCCAGTAACCGAAGCTCCCAGTCTACCTAGAGGCTAATAATACAGAGTATAATTTATCCTCTGCATGAAAACAATTTACTTAAAGGTATCTGCAACTTTGCAATGTACATACACGATGCAGAAAACATCTATCGGAGAACAGGACAAACAACAGTAAATGATGAGCTCTAATCCAGCAGTTTATTTGAAATGTTTATGTAAAGCAAAGAAAATTATATACTGGAATATACACATTTAAATTGCCTTTTAGAATAAATTGTTCTGAATCCATTTTGTTACACCAAATAAAGATTTCTTCCGCTATTACCCTCGGATAGAGGAAAAACAAAGGGGGAAAATCAACACAGTACTTAAAGGGGGGGGGAAACAATTCTGTATTTAATTACTGTCATTACTTTCTTCAACATCCACCTGTAATGGTAAATCCTCATATCTTTTTAATGGTTACTTAATATATGATTATCTCTGGGACTTTCTCACTGTTGAGAACTAAACACTGATGTTTACTAGGATAGCAACAGGCTTGACTGTCACTCAAGTTTCTCCAGTGTCTTCTTACTCATGGGTTAACACCTCAGCCATCACCTCTTTTGAAACTGAAACAGGCTGCAGAACATGACCACATGTATGTTATTCCAACCTGAAATTCACCAGCTGTTCAGCCCGAGAAGGTGAGGCAGCACACCAGTTTTGCCAGCCTTGTTGGAGAGCAGGCTCTTGCAAGACTATAGGATTTTGCTCAGAATAAAAGAAGAAAAGAAAAAAAAAACACGGGAAGAGATTCAAGCCCTTTTGTAACATCTCGTTTCAGATTCTGATGAACTTCCCAGAGTAACTCAGCCAGATCTGTAATCCCAAATTTGCAAGCCATCCCTAGTCTATTGATAGGATATAGCACTGTTCAAAGCCTGTGTGGCCAAAGAATTCCACCATAGTTACTTCTCAGTCCTAGGTTTGTGTAGACTCCTCAGGAAGCAGCTGTAATGTCAGCCCCTGTACCAGGAGAATCTCTCCTGACAGAGAGGAGGTATGTCTCAGGTGTTTGACATTATTCCATGCTTTTCCCATGAGATCAAAGCAAAGGCGAGAATCCCCACCCCAATATAAAAAACTGAAGATAAGCAATTCAAAGAAATGAACGTTTAAGAACAGGTTTATAACTGAAAATACTTATTTGGCAATGAGGATTGTCACGATTAAAGTATTCTTGCCTAGGCTCCAAATAAAAAAAAAAGGGGGGGAAAAAAAGAGAAAAAAAAAAAGTTGTCACACTGTGATGGCCCAGAAGAAAGCTAGAAAACTTCTACATCATTCTTTCCCCTCTCCTTTTCTTTACAGTGTTTGAAATCTTATTTTTCTGATGAACCCCAGGATTTTAGAATTTCTCTGTCCTTTTCTGCAAACCATCACCACTACGTAAACGAAATATTCTATGAGGTTTGTAGAATGCACTGCACCCCACAACATTCGGTAACTGATATATCCTAGAAGAGAAAAGCCCCTCCTCAGAGGATTAGAAATTAAACAGTGTAACAGTAAAACATTTCAAAAACTTTGTACGCTTTTTAATGAGAGAAACAGGAGCACACTCTTTCTTACCTCACTTAGCAGTCCACCGCCACAGCCAACATCGAGAATCTTTACTCCAGAAAGTGGGTTTCCCAGATGATAATTACTACTCATGTTCAACAGAGTATCTCTGAAAGAAAAGGGATGTGATTAAGGGCAAACATGCAAGGTGGTTTAGCAGATGCAATATGCAGTTATCTTAAGTACTGATAATTGTTTTTCTTTTACAGTGTTTTCTGAGATTATGCAGAAAGAGTACATATATATATAAAAAAAAAATCTGTTGTCATAATCATACCTAATAAATGGCACTCTAATATCATTCATAGAATGAAGGGCTGAATATTCTCCTTCTTCATCCCACCACTTATGCGCAAGGAGCTGGAATTTTTTCATTTCCTTTGAATCCACTGATGAGTGTGAAGCGCTGAAAAGTCTCTTCACGGTGAGCCTAAATAATGAAAGCTGAATGTCATGAACCTAATACCGATATTTCATGTCAGCTGAAATATGGGAAAAACAAATTCTGCATCAGAGAATTAAAAAAAAAAAAAAAAAGACAAAACTCATGTTTCTTTAGAGATTCTAGTTATACTTGATTAAAAACAAACAGATTTTATGCACTGTATGTATAATGTATCTTCCAAAACAGATGACTGCACACTGGTGATTTTTAAGTTACTAATTAGTAAAACAAAAATAGGCCACATCAAACATTTAAACATTTGTGAGATTTAAAAATGACTTCACGTGACACTGTCACAAATTAAAATTAAGTTGTTATAGAAAATGATAGAAATGACAAATCCTTGTCACACAGGATTATTTTAGATACAGTGCTTACATGCTGCTTTTTATTTCAGTCACAGAGACAGGCAGAGTACTGCTGCATCTCAGCTGTATTTTCCAGTTGTAGTTCTGAAGGGTACCTCTCAGGCCTATCTGAAAAGACAGATCAGCATGGTCACCTGCATAAATAAAAGAAAGGAAACCGAATGTAAAACATCAGCTTTATGAGAGCTCACAGGCAAAAAACCTAGTTTAACAATGCTGCTCTAGAACAACAATACTAACTGTGCAAATCTTTACACGTTTGCTCACTATTGTACTTAGGGAGGGCGTGGGGATTAAATAAAAGAGCATATGCTAGTTTACCATCCCAGTACTTCTCAAAATATGTATGATGACATTTTTCAGAGCCTGAATGAAAAGGAACTTTTCGTGCAGCTGAAATGTTTCAGTTAGTGAAAATTTCACCAAAATGTATACTCTGACCACAAGTTGTGCATACACACACACACTTACGGCTATCGACACAGGGCTCCGATTCCTGTTTCATTACATACTGGAATAAGAAATATAGGTCTGCACACTCATTTTGTATCATGTGAATTGGTAAGGAAACTTAAGTAAGAAAACCTCACGGACAGTGCAGAGACAGGCCAGGGACACCATCTTAAAAACTGTTCTCCGCGCCTGCTTAGCCGACCTACGGCTCGGCTCTGCCAGGCGTAACGCACACTCACTCACGATCCAGCTGCTGCCTGATCACCAACAATCCCCACACCAGAGCAATACCTCGCGGCCCCCAGAGGATGATTTTAGGCCGCAGTGAGCAATGGAGAGATCTACAGATACCTCTGGGAATACAACCACGCTGAAGGGCTGCACGAGGGGCAAAGGAGGTGACACGGGGAAAGACATCTCCCTTGGGAGAGCTCTTTTGGACGTGTGGAGAGCCCACCAGGGCCCGTCACACGAGGCCTGACTGGCTGGCGTTAGGCTGGCTTGGCATTAGGCTTGCTTACAGAGCAGCGTTAGCAGCACGACTGCGAGCACGAACGCGGTGCAACTGGGTGAGAAAGGCTGGTGCGTGCAGCCGCACGCACTCACTACTCTGCTGTGGGAGAAGAGCGGCGGTGCTGCA